AACAAAAGGAAGGAAGGAAGGAAGGAAGGAAGGATGGAAGGAAGGAAGGAAGGAAGGAAGGAAGGAAAAAAAGAAGGAAGGAAGGCTCTTTGATACCCAGGCAGAAAAATCTGAGTATCTACATAAGAGTTTTTAAATCACAACCTTCTTCAAACTCCTCTTTTACAATTTTAAATTCCCAAAGCCAATGTGAAATGCCTCCAGAATTCTGACAACAAAGATTATGGCCCAAGAATTTTATCTTCAGTCAAGCTCTCATTCACTTGTGAAGACAATAAAAAGACATTCTCAGAAAATCATGGGCTCAGAAAGTATCCCATTCCTCAGGGAGTAGAAGCGAGAAATCACTGTGCAGAGAGACAAAATAAAGAAAAATAGAGAAACTCTGGTATGAAACGTTGGAATGCAGTAAACATTGAGACTGTTGAAACATATACCTGTTTAAATAATTGTTACAAATCAATATAAAAATGAACTCGTTGAAGATGTAATACATGTTAAAAGTAATTAGAAATGAGCTGGCAATAAAATGTCGTGTTTAAACAATAACAGAAGGGAAGCTAGAGGGGAAAAAATAAAAGGAAATAAAGAGTACTAATTTCCACATCTTATTCAAGGAGAAGTTAACATTATTTCCATCTTAATGCTGGTAATCAGAGGAATGCATATTCAAGTAGGCTTATTTTTGTTTTTGAATATGTATTGTAGAATTAAAGCAAAATCTAGATTGTCTGAATCATTCAAAAACAAAACCCGAGCAGCAAAAAGAAAACAATGGACATAACAAAGTAGCATAAAAAAGAGTAAAATAAATAAGATGACAGGAGAAGGGAAAATTTTATCACAAACAACACTAATGTAAATTGCTTAACTACAAAAAATAATACTTTTCTCAAAAAGGTTTCTTCACATATGCAGCCTCCTAGCATACATCTCTAACAAAGTTACCCACGTAGCTTTTAAGGAGAACAAAAGTGGGTGAAGGCGTATCGTGCAAACCAAAGCACAAAGAAACCAAGAAAACAATATTACTAATCAAAGTATAATTCAAGGCAAACAATATTGAACAGGATAAAGTGAGCCATTTGTTACTAGTACCAGTAAAAGTTAAACTCTACAATTAAGATATCAGCCATGGCCCTAACCAGTTTGGCTCATCGGATAGAGCGTCCCATTTTATCCAAAAAAATGTCACACCTAATAAAACTTTTATCTTCCAAGAATCAATAATCCAGAAGGGGGTGGAGCCCATAAAATGGTCCTACCAAGAGCAAAGGGGAGATTGTGTTTAGAAGGCAAAGAATGAACATACTTTAGGGAGGAGAAATATTGAGCAAAATAATAACAAAGTTAGGCAACATGTGTTATATACTTTCAGTAAAAAAATTTTAAAGATGGGTTCAAACAGATAAAGGATGAAATAATAAGAAAGTGCACTAACAGAGGGGACATTGGTTAAGAGAGGCAGAAATAACAAGGGAACCGGATGAGATAAAGAAGCAAAAGGAAACGAAAGTGCAACAACAGAATATAAAGTGCATTAGAAATGACAGCGATCAGAAACGTCAATGCACATGTGCATGAATGCACACA